TACACTCTCACTATTAAATATATTTGGATGCACCTACCCACTGCCAAAAAAAAAAGAGAAAGAAAGAAAGAAAAAAGAAAGGAAGGAAGAAAGAAAGAAAGAAAGAAAGAAAGAAAGAAAGAAAGATTCATGGCTAAGCTAAAACTAAGCCTAGCAGGCTTTATATATAATTAATAATTAGCTCTATATCCTCTTTTGTGGTTCAAATGCCCCATGCTATTTTGAGGGAGGAGAAGGCAAGGCAATGGGGTGGTGAGTTCAAAGCCAGCCTAAGCTACATAATGATTTGGCCAGCCGGAGCTATGTGAGAAGACCCCATCTCAAACAAACAAATGAAGCAAAAACCTAAGATGATTCCTGTGGCCACTGAATTCCTCATTCTTCATATTTCATCCCCTTTGAATGCTTACCCCGAGTCTTTAGCTCTGGGTGAGGTGCTGTCCCTGCAGGGACCCCATGGGAAGCTGTTCTTGCACTGACCTGCTTCATCTGGACTTCCTGAGAGGCACTGTATGGTGCTCTGTATTGTGGAACCCGTACCAGGGTTTCAGACGTTTGTACAGTGACTGCACAGTCCTCACTGCTACTGAACCTGGATGCTTCAGGGTTCATTCCGGTTTGATCTTAGGATGATTTGTTTCTGCAGGCATGTGTTCTCGTCAGAAGCACAGAATTACAGTATACCACCTATGCATGTTCCTCCTGATAATTTGGTTACTTGTTTGCATCAGGGGTTTTTTTTAATTATCATTAAATCTTCCTCTTTGACTCCCCCATCCCACGTGTGTGTGTGTGTGTGTGTGTGTGTGTGTGTGTGTGTGTGCTGTATGTGTTCATAGGAGCCCAAAGGACAGCCTGTGGTGTCAGTCCTTGCCTTCCATCTTCTTTGAGATAGGGTCTTTTGTTCAGCACCCTGCATATCTAGCTGGTTGGTTGGCTGGTCCATGGCCTTCAGGGGATCCTTTGGTCTCTGCCTACCATCTTCCTGCTGAAGCACTGAGATTACAAATGTGCACTACTATGCTGTGCCTTGAGTGGACTTGGGGATCTGAACTCTGATCCTTACACTTGCACAGTGACAGCTTTACCTTCTGAGCCATCTCCCTGTCTTCAGGATAATTTTGAACAGATAATATACATACCACATTTCATCTACCTGTACAGAAACTATCAGAGCTTTGTGTACAACTCGCTGGAAAATCCAGAGAGCCTAAGCCAGATGCAGGAAGCTCAGCCCTTCATGTTCTGACACATATTCTAAACAACACTTTGGGGTCCTGAGCTTTTGCAGTTTGGGATAAGTATAGTAAATGCCACTTGACTTGTCACGATAGCTGCTACCAATCACGTGGAGCTTGAAAACTCAGTCATCATTGACTAGAGTAGAGTTTTGAGATAAAGATTGGATTTAGACTTGTTTGATTCAATTAAACCTCATTCAAAATTAGACTTACCCTTGGCTTCCAATATGGGGCCACTAAAGTCAATAATATTTAGAAAGCATAAGTGCGGCTGGGAGACTTCAGGTCAGGGAGAAAGAAAGGCCCATGGTGCTGTATGGCAGACAGGGGCTTCTAGACCTGCTTAATATACAGACAGTATCAGCCTTGGTTTTCACTGCACAGCTGAGGGAGTCTGTGCTTCTTGGAGAAACTTGATCTGAACTTTAGTTTGGGATCTGTCACCAGAAGTGTCTATAATTATAGAGAACGCCGAGGCTTCCCAAGTCTTCCCAAGTCTTCTGATTCTTTTCTTTGATTTTGTGGGCAACACTACAGCAGACCCACATCCTCCAAGAAATGTCCTGCAGCTCTAGCCCAGACCCTCTGTCCTAGGGAACTGGGCAGTGGGAGCTACAGACTAAAATCCAGCACCATGGACAGACAGTCTGGCCAAGCAGCCAGATGCAGTGGCCTGGGCAGCACCTAGTGTAGGAGTAAATCCACACGAAAGAGAACCTCTGAGGATGGGCACTTTGTATCCCCAGCTGTAAAGCCCCTTGAAACATCTATGTTCATATAAATTAACGTATAATTAACGGATAAACCCACCTGTCTATTGAGGGTCTGGTTCCTGCTGTTTCATCTTTTCTTGGTTGGCTACAATTAAGATCTGAAGTTAGCACTCCTGAGTTGAGTATGGCTATCCATTTAGATCACAGGTCAGTAAGCTAAGCTGGCTTGGTCAGGATAACCAAATCATCTCATATCTCATCATCTCATCTTACCTCATATCATCTTACCTCACCTCACCTCACCTCAGCTCAGCTCATAGCCTCAGACTGTGAATCTGAGCTTAAGCATCTCTCTTAGGAACATCTCTTTTTGAGTCCCAATGGGAAAGCACGAGGGCACGTCCACTGTTCTGACTCCACTAAGGTTCCAATCACACCATGGACAGAATGTCTACCCTTAAAACAAACAAACAGCGCTAGTGGGAAGAATGTAAATTAGTATAGCCTCTATGTAAATCAGTATGGAATCACTCAAAATAAATAAATAAATGAATTAATAAATAAATCTACCAAACAGACCAGTTTGTCATTCTTGTGTACATTGCCAAAGCAATCTAACTGAGCATACTATGGAGACAGATGTATGCCCAAAGATTTTCAAATAGTATCTCACTATGTAGACCAGGCTGGCTTTGAACTCACAGAGATCCACTTGCCTCTGCTGGAATTAAAGACATGTGCCACCGTACTTGTCCCTGCATATTCATGTTTATCACTGCTGTAGTCACATGACTACGAAATGGATCAACTTAGATGCTCATCAACAGATGAATGGATAAGGGAATATGCACGCACACACACACACACACACACACACACACACAGAGTTGCATTCTGACATAAAGAAGACTGAAGCTATGCCATTTGTAGAAAAATAATTAGAAATGGGAACATCAAGCCAAAGGAAACAAGTCATTCTCAAAAAGCTAAACACCACATTTCTTCTCACATACAGATTCTAGAATTGTTTTTTTAAGGACATGAAACTGGAAAGGGGACTATTTGGAAGAGGAGGGGATCAGTGGGAGGGGGAGAGACAAGATAGGGAAATAACAGGATAGAATTAATGGTCAGGGTATAAAAAATGACATAAGGAAACATTTTGTCTAATCCATATAGGCTATAAAGAATAGAAAAGGAGACCACTGCTTTGATGGGGGCACTGGTAGCTTTTCATAAGACACAACTGGAAGGTAGCCTGAGAAACCCTCTGCCCGTCTCAGAGCATTGCCCCCTCCAGCTTCTTATTCTGGAAGTTATTCTGTGCTTAAGTAAGTGCGGACTGCTCTTGAATGAAGGCTTGACTGGGAGTGTCATATAACCAGGGTACAGAAGGGTCAAATAAGTCATTCCCCCTGCTCCTCTCTTCCTAGGCTTTCCTTGAGAAGTCATGAAGAGCTTTCTGTATCTTGGCTTTGGGATTTCTGGAGCAGTGTCTCTCAGCACGTCTTCTGAATACCAGCTTAGGATATATCCAGGAGGTAGGTGAAAATCACTGCTTGGGCTTCCAACCATCCTTGGCAGTGCAACGTAACTGACATCAAACTCAGCATATATGGATGCTGAATGGCAGAAAGGGAGAGTACTAGATAATGTGGAGCTAGGTAATGGAAGCTGAATTATGGAGGACATCTAAGACGATAGTAATGACAAATAATATAAGGTGTGTCAGAACCCCTGGGATGGTATAGGCCAAAACGCTAGGTTTGGATAGCAAAAAGAACACACTGTGCCTTAGTCTGGTTTTCCACTGTTGTGAAAAGATACCATGCCCAAGGTATGACTCTCATAAAGGCAAACATTTAATTGGGGCTGGCTCACAGTTTCAGAGGTTTAGTTCACTATTGTCATGGCGGGAAGCATGGCAGCATGCAGGCAGACATGGTGCTGGAGGAGCCAAGAGCTCTACATCTTGATCTGAAGGCAGCCAGGAGGACACTGTAATTCCACACTGAGCAGAACTTGAGCATAGGAGACCTCAAATCCCACCCCCACAAGGACACACTTTCTCCAACAAGGCCACACCACCAGAGAGTGTCACTCCCTGTGGGCCAGGCATTCAAACGCATGAATCTATGGGGGCCAGACCTTTTCAAACCGCCACACCAGCAATCTGTGAAGTCTGGCAGCATCTTCAAGATGATGATCGTCCAAAGCCTGATCTTTTCACTGTTTTGACTCCAATCTCGCTCCAGTCAGAATCCCACCAAATCGTATAAGATCGGGCTCTAGCATCTTCCTTCCTCTACATGTCAACAGAACCATAGACAAGCCCATAGGCAGTCCAGACTCAGCATCCCTCCTCTGTCTCTCTCTGCTAACTCTGCAGCACATTGTGTGAAAGGCCTTTTCTTTTTCTCTTAGTTCCTCTGTGACTCTAGTCCATGCCTGCCACCCTTGACATCTCAGCGGTACAGCACCCAGCCTCTCCCCTGTACTCTCTAAACCCTTAGTCCATCTTCCTCTCTGAAACCACATCAGTTACATAAACATACAATCTGTGTGCTACTCTCTGATAGCTGAAAGGCCTTGCCTTCCTATAATATCATATATTGAAGACACTGTGAGATTTCACTGCTTCTGATGTGTTCTTATATGATCCTAGGGGTTGTGACACACCTCATAAGATTTGCCAGTACTAGCTTCTCCAATGCCCCTTCCCTCCACTGAAACTCCATTGTCTAGCTCCATGCTGGAGCACTACCCATTTCTGACACGCAACTCCTCACAGCCCACCCAGGAAGCTCATCTGATTCCTCAGTTATTTCCTTTCCTTGACAACATGGTCAAAATTAGATAGCACTTGATCTGCTCTGTTGTAGCTAGGAAAAGGTATTCAATAGTAATATTTAATGATTCAATAAAGTGAGTTCCTAGCAACTCTGGAGGAATGAGAGATGGAGAAAAAGAATGAGTCTCCTCCTAGTCCTGTAAGAAACTCTTTGGCTCTATTACTCCTGGCCCTCCTCCCCCACATTATTTTTACCTGCAAAACTGGACTTCCTGGTCAAACTGCGAGTTTTCTGGCTGTGTTCCCTCCTTCAGCTGGCTGACGTTGAAAAAGGAAAGAGTATGGTTCACAAAGCCATGAAGAGTTCCATTGTGGCTATAGGAGTACTGGTACACGAGGCGGGGGATAAAGTCGGAGGTGACAGCGATGACAAAAGCCTAGGGGACAGAATCACAAGCACTGAGGACTGGTCTGAACAGGTGGTATCTGGAAGGCATAGGAGACATGTGACTAAGGGACGGTCCACTCTTGGGCATACCATCAAGAGGAGCTACAAGACTTGACATGGAAACAACTTCAGTATGCTCAAGCCCCTGACCCTAGGTTCACAGGGCTCACGGTTTTAGACAGGGGAAATGACAACATTGAGTGTTGGAAGCTTTGCTCCACCTCTAAGATATTTGGATCGGCACTGCTGTTGCCTGAGCCCAAACAGAGTTCGAGGTATTCTAAGAAAATCACTTGTAGTGATGAAAGCACTGCTAGTAGATCAGGCATGGGAGACGGAGGCTGTGTACATCTGCCCTGAGGGACACTGAAGAGCCAGGAACATAGCTTCAGTTTCCTCAGTCAGATTGTCATCTCTGGACGCTTTGCAGTGCTTGCGCAATAGAAGCTGTTCCTTTATTCGCCTTGTGAAAGGGGAGAGGCAGGAGGGAAAAGGCACAGGGCCTGCAAATGGGACATCCACAGCCCACCCAGAGTAGGGGAGGTCTAAGTGCTCTTCAAATGGCCACGAGCAAGCTGAGTGCAGGTGAGTGATTGCTTGTTTGGATTTGGAGTTACTTTCTGCAAAAAGAACCTTAAATCTTTTTGGCAGCTGTTTATACTATATTCTGCAAAACAATTAAGGCCCCCTTAAAACCTGTGTTTAGGTTTTTTTTTTTCTAAATGTATATATGTAAGTGGGCCATACCCATATTTGAAAATTAATCACACACTCATAATTATCGTAACTGTGATTTATTGAGCATGTCTTTGTTCTTCTCTTATCCCACACCATTTCTAGAATGGTCCTACATGGTAGATGTGAGTCCTGTGCCCTGTTGTTTTGATGACTAAGCAAGACTTAGAGGCACAGGAAAGCAAAATGCACTGTCTCTCTGTAACACAGACAGAAAGTACTGACACCACCGCGGGTCTCTTTTCTAGTAGACACGGCTCAAAGTAACAGATGGCCCTCTTTCTGAGAGACACACTTCCTACATCCAAACACTCACCCTGTAGCAGATTGATTCTGCCTCCCCCAACACCTCCCGATCATTTTCGGACAGGCCAAAGAACCAGGTTAGACCCAGAATCAATGTTCTGCTCCCAAGGGAACATGAGCAGGAGCTTTCTAGATGTACACTTAGGCAGCTGGTGCCTTCTTGGGATAAAGAGCTGGAGGGAAGCCCTGTCTAGCAACTGTCTATCAGGATACAAAAGCAAAGGGATTTTTTCTGCCATGTATATATGAGTCTGGCAAGGCAGCTAAGAGCATCACAACAGGTAGGACCCATTTCCTTCCCAATACTAGCTTAACTTATGGAGTGCCCCTGTCCATGGGGGTGATTAAGGCTTTGAACTGAGAATGTTGAGGAACCATAATTAGGAATTGTAACCCAGGCAACATTCCAGGTATTGTTTAACTAAAGGATGGAAACAGAATAGGAAGAGATAGACACATAGGTCAAATTCTTTCTTCATTATTCTTGGCTCCAAAGAAAGATCTGTTTTGTCTCTTAAGGCCAAGGCATCCAGTCAGAAGAAGGATAGCTGCCTTTCTCTTAAGGAAATGAAAAGTAAATTGCAATGCTGGGTAGCGAATGGCTTACAAGGTCTATATGTGCCACAAAGCAGGAGACCGTCTGAAACGAAGCTCAGGACGGGTTTCTACTTGGAAGGCCCAGCACTCTGAAAGCTCCGCCCATATAGCTAAGACATTCTAAATGTGAGCACTTACATTGATGATGACAGAGAACTTGCCAATTCCAGAGAGAATGTCAAACCAAATCCCTGTAAGACAGAAGGGCCAACATCTCTAGTTAGTCCTACCATGGGCTCAGAGTCAGCAAGGCCACAGAATGGGCTGACGCTGTGTAGGCAGGTTACCTGGGAAGTCTTTCTGCCCCCTCCCAGTACTGGGCTTGCCAGAAAGGCTTAGTGTGCCCCTGTCTAAAAGCTTAGGGAACAACTGGGAGTAGTTAATATGACTTCTACAGGCCTCCCCACAGGAAGGATGGGAACAGTAGAAATTCCAAGGGGTGAAGAAGATAAGGAGGGCTATGCCAGCTTCCTGAGCTCTCTGGAGCAGGTGATGGGAGGAGCCACATGGGATAGGGGTACCAGGCCTCTAAAGTAGGGCATACCAATGTCTTTGGTCCTCACAGCATCTGGGCGTCTCAGCTCTGTAACAAACTTTTTTGCATCCAGCCGAACTTCAATGACATTGTTAAGGAGGGCAAACACTGGTGCCAGTGGAAAGGAGGCCACAAACAGGGTGACAAAACCAAACTGGATGACTAGGAGAGAACACACAGGAGACACTTCAGCAAGGAGCCAGGGGGTGGGGGGTGAAGGCCATCTCTATTCTGTGGTGCCTAGTCCTCTCTATCAGGTCCCCTTCCTTCCTGCCTGCACTTCTAGGCTTCCTTCTCATTTCTGCAGCCAGGGCCCATGCTGTCATTCTGAGTCAAAGCTCTGGCTTAGGCATGGTAGGCCAAATAAAGAGACATGTGACAGGGACGTTTCCCTTCTACTACCCGTCATCTTCAGAAACTAATCATATGTGGCAGCTGGGGGTTGGTAAATTCTGTAAGTAGCCAAAGGGGGAAATACATTGGGATCTGGGATCTGTCTTATCTTTCCACAGAAACTCACTTCTTCCATTGCTCCCAGGCATGACTATGCTCCCAATAAAGCTTTATTTATAAAAGCAGTCTACCAAGTAGGCTGATATTGAGGCCAGCCCTTAACATAGCTTCAAAATTGTCTCCCAAAGGTGGACACCCCCATTTTTTTTTTTACTTCAGAAGAGAGTTTTGCTATCTAGCCTAGGCTGGTCTTAAAATGATGATCCTCTTGCCTCTGCACCCCTACCAAATACTGGGATGGTTGATATGTACCACCAGGCCCAGCTTGGGGTCTCCTTTTCCATAGACAGAGCCATTGCTTTTCTTTGGAAAGAACTCATTCATCACCCATTTATTGAGAGCTGGAAAAATTCCAGGCCAAGTACTGTGCCAAGTATTTCAGGGAGGCAAAGGCCTGGTCCTGTTGTGAAGGAGCTGAGATTAGAGGGGGAGACATAAGGGTAGGTAAAGTTGTTCAACAGGACTTTTGCAAATGTGTTGCAAGAGCGCAAGAAGAATGTGCTAGAGTCAGAGGATCAAAGGAGACAGAGCTACAGTCCACTCTGGATGGGGACTAAAGAAGGTCTCCATGTGGATGACCTTAGCACCGCCCCCAAAGAGGGGTTTGTGCCACCAGGGAGAGCTAGAGAGCATTCTGAGCCACAAAGGCATTCTGCAGCCACCGCACAGCTTTACCTTGCTTTACCTGGACCCTTACCACAACCTCTCAACCACCTTCCTTGTCACCAGTCTTCCCAGGCTCGCAGCACACAGACTCTGTACTCTCCCTAATCATAAGGACTTCCCTGGAATCCCCTTTACTTACTGAATGGAATCCAGATTCCTAATATTGACACACAGGTAATTAAGTCAATTCTAATGTGTTCCTCTAATTCCATCTCCAAAATGCTCCCACACAACAGCCCTGATCCTGCCTCCAGGACAAACTTATCATCCTGAGGCTTTCCACTTAACATATCCCATTCCTTCTTCTGTGCACAGCAATCATTCATTCTCTACCTGGTGAATTTCCTGGGGTCCCCAAGACCAGAGCACTCCAGTGCATCCTGCTCTGAGCACCCCTTCCTGTGCTCGGGCCTCAGCATCCACCAGTGCTGGGCTGGGACTACTTCCCTGGGTATCCCTCTCTGTTGTAAAGCAAAAGGCTCCATATGTTCTGGGATCTCTTTGCAAATCTGCACACAGAGGCAACCCAGGGAAGCCAGTCTAGTTGGATTCTCCACATGCTAACAACAAGTACCAACCATTGTTTCCCTCAGTTACAGCAAGTGCAATTAAGGCTCATAAAACAATACTCACCCAATTGGCATCACAGAACACACATGGATGTGCTTCAAACACATATCATGTCTGAATCCCAGTAAGTGTCCAATACATGTTACATGGGGGAGCTGGGGCGCTGGTTCGGTGAGTGGGTAAAGTACTTTCGTCCCCAGTTTCCCTCCCCAGCACCTCTGTAAAAAGTCAGGTAGAGTAGCACACATCTATAATCCCAGTGCTGGTCAAGGGAGACAAGCGGATCTGCTGGCTACCCAATCTAGCCTATCAAGTTCCAGGTTCAGGGATAGACCCTACCTCAAAAAAAAAAAAAAGTGGCTAGCAATAAAGGGAGATATCTAAAGCCAACCTCTGGCTTCAACACACACACATAAATGCACAGAACAAGATACAAATAGCAAGTTATTTATGTAAGTAGTAAGTTACTTATGTTTTACATATACTGTTATTCTTAGTGAAAGACATATCAGCATACAGAGATGATTGCAATGTATACTGTATAGCTACCCGCTAAACAGACACAAGCTTAAGGTTTAGAGACTCGGGGAGTCTGAGAAGATCCAGATCCCATGTTCAGACATGTTCCTAACCTGACTCAGTCCTTTGTCTACACTTTTGTTCCGACTGACAGCTCAAAGGACCTGCTTTAAATTCCCTAAGGTGCTGCGATTGTTGGGCCCTTAGAAAAGCTTCGCAATTTCAGGGTAATCACATAAAGAATGAGAAGACAGGACCCAAACCCAGGGGTGTGTGTGTGTCTGTGTGTCTGTGTGTCTGTGTGTGTGTGTGTGTGTGTGTGTGTGTGTGAATACACAAAGAACGCAAGCCAACTGCACTAAAAGTTTCCAGAGGAAACACACATGGAACTCTTCCCAGCCAGAATGCTTCTGATTTGGCAGGCTTTTTGGCTCACAGGTGTGGCCACTGCTCTTGCTCATACAACCCTTACCTTTGCCTTATCCTAGATCACTAGGATTCTCAGTGGGTTCTGGGAGACTAGCAAGTGTCATTAATGGCAAGATGTCACTGACGCATCAAGGTTGGACTCCCGGAAGGGCTAGTTGGTAATGGAGGTGGAGAGGGGTGTGCAGGTCTTCACAAACACACCCAGGTAGTCGATTGCAAATGCAGTACCCTGGGGCTTCACATACCAGTCAAGCCTGATGACCCAAGCTCAACTTTCAAACCCACATGAAAAGATGGAGGGGAAGGAATGTTCCCATAACCCCAGCATTGCAGTAACAAGTTGGGAAACTGAGCCCAAAGAAGCTCATGGACCAGGAAGTCTAGAGTGCTCAGGGCACAGACAAGAGGGGCTCTGTCTCAGAAACGAGATGGGAGAAAAGAACTGACTCCCCAAATCTGTTTTCTGATCCATACATGCGTGAGAGCGCATGTGCACACACACACACACACACACACACACACACACACACACACACATACATACACACCAAGTAAATAATAAAAGTTTTAAAGTATCAGTGCCTGCCATGTCTTTAGAAGATGATGCTTTACAGAAAATTTAATTTGGGAGTCAGGGGTAGGGGCTAGAACAGAAGGACCAAAGGGGAGTGGAAATGACCAAGGAAAGCTAAATAGGAGATTGGCCTACTTTTCTAAAACCTGGAACACAATGTCTACATTTAAAAAACATACATGAATGGTGTTGGTGGAACTGAGAACTGTCCGCATTCCTGAGCCAGGAGCTCCCCCACATCTCACCTCAACTTCAATGACTCAGGAATGATGGTCCCTGCTATCATTAATAGCCAATGGGACACACTTCCACCATCGCCACCATCATTGTATTTTCCATATTGCTCAAGCCCCATTACCCACCCATAAAGCCCACCACCACAACTAGCTTGCCGCTGTTTCCGTCCGCACTCAGGGGCAGCCATTTTGTGAACCCCCTTCCCCAATAAACTGATTTGCATGAGGTCTCTTGTGTGATGTGATTTTGTAGCATTCCTTCCTTGGCCCCCAGTCTTCAAGATACTCTGGCTGAAAAACCCTTTCAGATGTATCTTGTGTTTTCAGACATTAGTGCCCTTGGTTCCATGAGCTCATGGAAAAACCTGATTAAAGGGACTCCCTTCAGAAGAGCTGTGTGAATACCTCAGAGCCTCAAAGGGCACCATGGGTTGGAAAGGGGCAGTTTACTTTTGACTGGTTTCTATTGCATACAGCACGACCTCTCCACATACCTGCCTACAGCCCCGGGAAATCCAGTGTCTTTGCCAGATCATGGAGGAAGTGGGACTTTCCACTTCTGCTTGTCTCTTTAGTGAACTGCCATCCCCAAGGGTAGCCCTGTGAGTTTGCTTTCTCACCTTCACAGACTGTCCCTACACAAATTCTATTCTTAACATCACCATTTTCTAGGGCCAGTCTGGTGTGTTCTGTAGTTCTCATTCATTCTTTCAGTTTCACAACAGAAGCGCTGGCCTCCCATTCCCGCATGTAAATCAGTGTGGCTAGCATGCACAGCCTCAGAAGAGTGGCAAAGGATGCCCTTGCCCCTTCTCTGCAGTTACCTCAGGGTATCCAAAGCCATAGAAAACCCCTCTCTACACATGCCCTCATGTTACAGGTGTAATATGTACCCTTGAGCATTTCCAAGAGGCAATCCAAAGAGCCTGAAATAAACAGCAAGTCTTGATTTAATCTTGGGGCTATATATATATATATTTAAAACTGTAACCCTCCAGCATTCAGATGCCAAATCCAAGACTCGTTCTCTTCAAGGGGAAATCTGGAGGGCTGAGTCAGATGGGAGCCCTGCTGGGTTCAGTTCAGAGGACGCAGGGATGCCGGCCTTCCCCAACACCAACATTTGTTTCTAAAAGCAGCCAGCCTCCCTTAGGACAAGAGAAACACAGGAAATCCTCAGTGTGGCTGTATAATAGAAGCCAGCTTGGCCAGGCCAGCAACAGATTAACCCTGGCCAAGCCAATTAGGGAGGAATCCATAAGTTGATTTTCAACTGACTCTTTACAAAGCCTGCTGTAAAGCGCTCCAGAAATGCTGGTTGGAAGCACAAAGCTTGGAAACATGTCTGGGCACAAGCTCCCTGAGTTTCCTCTCTGCTCACACTCCAGCAGCCAAGAACTTTACTAAATAACCACCAGCCTTACACTGCCTGATGCTGTAGACAGTTACAATTGGGAGTGATTACCTGGGCTTGGGCTAAAATAACTATAGACAGTTACAACTGGGAGTGGACTATGCTAAAGGAGACAGCAGACAGCAAGGACATTTTAGGACAATCTACTTAGAGGAAAAAATTAAATGGTGTAGCAGGGAAAAACAGAGCACACTGGCCAGAGTGAATAAAAATAATAACAGTGGAACAGAGTTCTGATTTT